ATTTCCTACCCTATAGCAATAAAGGTGGCTTGGAGATTAAACCATGTTTTTTTTATCAAATGAGTGAGTTGGCCTCTCCTATGTCTTCTTTTTTTAAAGTTCAATGCAGGATTTAGCAAATGTCATTAGGAATGAAGAGTTCAAGGTGCCAAACAGCTCAGGCAGGTTGACACAGTGAAGCCAACATAAAGCTTCCTGTATTGATCTGTATCACTGTAAACTCTATAGCTTTAACGCTTGACACATGTGTAAGGTAAATGAATGAGGTAATTTGGACCTGAGCAACTTAGGAATACATTTTGCAGTCTTCCTCCCTCCTTGGAGGGCATTAATCTGGCATCCAGCTCTAATGTTAAAAATATTTGTTATTTTTGATCAGGATATGTCTTTTAACCCCCACATTTAAAACGTTACTAGAACCGTTACTCTCAACAAAGACAGACACATCCTTTCCCTCCCCTGCCTCCCTCCTTCCTGCTTTTGCTCCTGTCCTGTGAATCTGTCTCAGAGCCTCTCTTTACATATCTTCCGAATCGTAAATTATGGATCTGGTCAGCTGGTCTCTCAACGCAACTGATAACATTTTATGACGAGAAGACGGGTGCAGGAGAACCCTCTTGCCCTGAAGGGACTCGCGCAGCTGGACATATCATGGATTCATGGGGTGAATGGAAGATGATGTGCCTGTCTGTATTGTCCGTTGAGGACGGTGAAGATGCGTACATATTTGTATTTATGATAACATGGGTTCTGCTTTTTGGAATTGGCGGGTACCTGGGAAATCGACAAATTAGGAAGACATCAGCAGCAGTTTCGGGAATGGTGAGACTGCCTGCCTTATGTGAAGGATTGTATCATGTTTCAAGCGCTCAGACTCCGATACTTTGCGAGCTAAACCTAGAACTTACTGGCATGAGGGAATCGACCTTGGAGAAGGCTAAAATCGTGGACCGGCGGAATGACCACAAATCTGGATTTGCCATTGAGTGTACCAGCAGGACACAGATTGTGTTGCAAAGCGCTTTGAGTATCTCAATAAGATAGAAAGGCACTACATAAGTACAGTCCATTTACCATGTCCTAGGAATCGATGTGTCGATTACTCGAGTAGTCTGTTAAAAACCTAATCAGGACTATGAAACTTTCTGGTAGATTCACAGACAATCTCACCAACTTTTTTGCCCCCCCCCCCCACACACACACACACACACAAAAAGTCTTATGTCCATCTATGTTGCTTTGTTCTGAGGTAGTTTTAGCTACTCACACTGTGTCCTGTGTGTCACGGACACGGTGTGAGACATCTTTTTTTTTTAATACCTTCTTTCCTCATGTTTTTCTCCCCGTTTCTTATCTAAGTGATAAAGTCAGCATTCACAAGGAAGCTGCAGCCTCCGTGCACTTCCGTCTAACCTTGTTGGACGGCTGCACTGGAATGCAATTTTGCTGTGCTTAACTGTACAATGACGGAGTTGAATTTGATTCTGATATTGCTAAAGTTAAAAAACTTCTTATCTAAGAATGAAGCAGAAAAATGGTTCATGCATTTGTTACATCCAGACTGGACTGTTGTGATGGTTTATTATCTGGGTGATCAAATACTACTTTAAAAAGTCTTCAGTTAATTAAAAATACAGTGAAACTATATCATGTGTATTTTTGTACATCTGTACTCAAACCTCAATGATTAACCAGAATCTTAACTGGAGTTAGTAGGAGAGATCGTATCTCCAGTTTTAGCTTATCTCCAATAGCTCACTGTCAAATCCAGAATAGAATTCAAAATCTTACTTCTAACCTACAAAGCTCTCAACAACCTAGGTCCATCTATATTATAGATATTATTGTTCCATATTTTCCTAACAGAGCACTTCGCTCTGAGACTGCAGGCTTACTTGCGGTTCCTAGAGTTTCCCAAAGCACAATGGAAGGAAGATCTATCAGATCTTTCTGTATTGTTGTTTGTGCACATTTGTTCCCCCACCACATCAGCCAGGCCCATTTATAAGACTGAATTTGCTGTAGTACACTTTTAAAATGAAAATAGGCAGTTTTACACAAGCTTTTCCAATAAGCATTTATAAAAAATAATATTGATTTACTAATATATTATTAATCATCATTGCGGTTTGTTTAGAACTGGTTCCTGTGCAGGAGTTAAAAATACACCCTTTAGCAATGGTGGTTTCTGATATGTGCAATATAGGCAGCTGCTGAAGGTGGCAAATACGCTGGGCCCCGCCCTCCACCACAAAAAAAACAAAATGCATTATTTAATTTAGACTGTCAAGCCTACATATCTGTTTCCATTCACCCACTTGCAGGGAGTGGGCGCCCTCGGCCAGGTCCAGGGTATGCAGCTTCTGCTGAGGTCTGACACACAGAGTCCCACCCCCACCCCCCTTTCACAACCTATCATCTCCATTGCTGGGCAAGGGATTCATCTAATACAACTGACGCAATGTGACCTGTCAATCAATCCAGTACGCTTGTCAGCAACTGACCAATTAAGAATCGCAATTTGTCCCGAAGTAAAACGCCCTTACCTGCAGGAGCTGCATCCCCTTTTCCTCCAACAAAACTGTTGGGGTTTTTCATTACAAACACTTATCAGTCAGGAATTTCATAAAGAATCATAGGAAAATAAAATTTTAATCTTGTTAAAAGGGGAAAATGTAATTCATACATATATTACCCTGAGCAGAACAGAGTTTTTATTTATTATCTTTTAATTCTTATTGATTTTTGCTGGTCTTATTTGCCTTAACGTTGGCTGATAATGCAAAAATGCCTCAGGTAACGCCATGAGCTTCACTACCTCTGCCATCACCGATCTCGTTTGTTTGTCAGAGATTTGCTCATTAGCTAACCCTGGGTTACACTTCCGGGTGGGCGGAGCTATCTAACCGTTCGTGTTGTGTCAATAAGTTCACTAAGTAAATCACACCACTGATTGCTCCCAAACAAAGCATGTTTCATTCATAATATTGTGAATATACAGCAGTCGATAGTTCACAGCTCATTTGTGTGAAAGTGCTGAGAAAAATATACAAAAAATGAAAATGTGCACCAAGGAAGGTGATTTAATTTATGCCCAAGTTGTTTTGACTCATATTTAAGGATGGGTGATGATGACCTACTCTGCTCGAGCGTTAATTACACATGGAAGATGGACATAACAGGTCCAAGCCATCAGGTGCCCAGTTTAGGAAAAACAGGCTATAATTGCTAAAGGCAATGATCTTGTGATGTAGCTTGGACCTGTTAAATAGCCATTAACTGGAAGAGGAGTTGATTTGACTCATATTCTGAATATTTCAGAAATTGGACATATGTAGGCTTGTAATTACTGTAATTACTCAGTACTGCATTAGGCTACTTCAACGGTTTTATAGGCTATAAATGACCAATATGAGGCACAGCAATATGAATGTTTGATAATGATACAAATGATGTATGATGCATCAGTTTTTACGTATGGTATTTTAAAGCAAATTCAGGGACACTTCTGAAATATTTAGGGGCACCTGCTGCCACAGGCCAAGATGAGGAACCATTCACTTCCTCAAGCCTCTTCAGCAATGGTTCATTAGCCTCAGGAAGAGGAACTCTCCACATCCTCAGCCACAAATGTGTCTCTGCACATGTTGTCATGTGCAAAACTTTGCAAAATGTTATGCAACAAGTGTTCAGTTGGTGTGCACTTTAATCTGTGTTTTCTTGTTTGAAGTGCAACAGTAAAATGTCTTATTAAAAGAAGGGCAAGGCTTTAAACGGCAGTTGTGCAGTTAAATTTGTGTCTTGTTCAAAGTGCAATACTAGTAAACAGATTTCCTTCAGTGTTCAGTTGCTGTGCAGTTTAATCTGTATTTCTTCTGTGAAAAGTAGTAAATTCACTTATTTAAAGAGTAAGCCTTAACATGACAATTGTACAGTTTACCGGTAATTGATATTTCGTGAAGTGCAATAATGTAAGTTTTCTTATTCAAAAAAGGTTCAGACCTTCCTTGACAGTTATGCAGATTCATTTGTTTTGATCAAAGTGCAGTTGTTTGACAAATATTTTCAGAAATATTCTATTTATGCAATTTAGAAATGACTTATTTTAATTTTATTTATTTTCTACAGGATTAATTTGTTGTATTTGTATTGTATACTTTTAAATTTATGGTATACATGTGTCTTACTTTGTGTGTTTATAGTATTATTTTAGTTTCTTCAATTTCAATTAAAAAAAAATCAAATATTCAATATTTTTTTGTGTGTGTGTCTGTGACGGTACAGTATGTGGTAAACTAAATGATGTGTCTGCGCCGGATGGGGTGTGGGTGGGGCATTGGGTTGATGCAAGCTCGGGAAAAGGAGGGTGCTGGAGGGGTTGTTTGCCCAGGGCACCAAACAGGCTAGGACCGCCCCTGCCCTTTAGGGTTTGGTGATGCCTGGCGGCAGAATTCAGATTCAAACAGGTTGGGCATGCCCATAACAACTTTGTGACTATTCCCTCATTAAAATTGGCATGCAAATTGTTTTCATTACCTTCAGAACTTACTGGACAGGGCTGTATGCCTCTGTGACTCACAAGAGGCACCTCTCGTAAATCATAAAACATGAAAAACTTCCGCTTACAGCCAAGTGAGATATACCAATCTCTATTTAACTGGCTCGATTATTAAAAGTGGAAAATGTGGAAAAAATAAAGATTTTTGAGAAATGACTTTATCAACTTTCCTTCCTGATTTCGTAGAGGTCTACCTGCCTGAAACACCTTGTAAAGGACCCCTGTCAATCACTGTGATGTTTTAGAAAGCCATTAAGGATCCAGAAAGTATCTGATGAAGATGAGATCTATGATCTTGAGGGAAATGGGAGTAGCTGATTGATGGCTACATGGATCCAAGGCAGCTGAGAAAGGTGGATGTAATGGAGTGGAGAGGAAGGAGGGGAAGGCTAAATGAATAATGAGGATGTGAAGGACTGATGGGACGTGCAGTGCTGCCTACCTCCACCTCATGCTGCGGCTGCTGACGGGGCTGCGGTGGGCTGATGGGGAGCGTGAGCCCGGGCACCTCCACCCGCCATCGCCTCCTCACCGGGTTTCAGACCAGCCCTTCCCCTCCAACCTCTCTTTCTAACTGCATTGACACCTTGGATGTTGGGCGTCCCTGGTCGTCTTTATCCCCACAAGCGCAAGTGACCTGCAGGTTTTATTCTCCTCCTGGTCCGTTATATAACTTTAAATATATTTATTATTTACCTTCCTGGGTCTTTTTCCAAGTTTATTCCCCCTCTTCTGCAGGGATTTTTTTTTTGTTTTTATGTTTTTAACATGAATCTAGGGGAAAAAGAAAAAAAAAAAAAACCATCCACGCACATTCGTCCGGAGAAAGCGCCGCTGGAAGGACGCAGGAGCGCGGCTGGTGCGGAGCTGGAGAAGCGCAGGAAACACCAAAAGAGATAATAATAAAAAAAAATAAAAATACAAAATATATCTCCCACCTCTCTCTTGATCCAGCCACTGGTGAAAACACCCGAGTCCTGGAGAGAGGAAAAGGACTCGTGCAGCTTCACATCCGCCCTGCAGCTGTCTGTTTTCCGGGAGCTCCTCGTCCGCTCCGTCCTGGAGCGACCCCGACCCCCGCCGGAGCTCTCAGCCGGCTGAGGCAGCTGCTGGCCGGTGAAAGCTGTCTGTTAGACACCGCTACTCTGACGGCGCTGAACACGTCACTGCATTCTTAGCAGAGCTTCTCACGTGACCCAGTTACTCGCTGCGATGCGTTCAATGACTGTAGGTGATAACCCCACCGCTCTTTCCACGTGATTGCCTCATTTTGGCTTGTAAAGTGTGTTTTTTTAACTTACTTTGGCCAACTTCATTTAGTTTAAGTTTTTCTGGGTGGGGGGCAACAAAGTGAAGTAATCTGGATAAGAGTAGGGAGGTGAGAAGATCAGGACACGATAAAATCCTATTAAACCTTCCTTTAGCTATTTGTGGGCACCGTCATGAGCAATGATCTTTTTTACATTTATTTCTTGTGATATGCAGGCATGTGAAAGATGTAAACACATGAAGCAAATGTGCATTTCAAAGCAACTGCTGTCTGCAAAGTGCTGCACATGAAACGGTAAGAAAGAAACAACTATACCAAAGAAAGACCATGAAAAAAAATCTTGTGCATGAATCATAAAAAAAACTTAAGTGGAATTGACATCTTGCATATTTTTATTTAGCCTATTAAGTGTTTTCATACAATTACACACTGAAGAGCAAGTCTCAAATAATTGTTATGAATTATTAAAAACGATAACGAATAGAACAAACACGGACCTCCCACATTAACCACATCCTGTTTTTCTGTGAGTTTCCGTTATGCGTCGAGCAATTCACCAATGCAGAGAGCCAACACCAACATCCACAACCATTTAAAATGTTTTTCTATTCGTACATAAAAGCATTAGATTTAAGGCACCCACTGCAAACTATACAATCGGAGAGAAAAAATATATTCTGATGCAGTGTGAGAAAGTTCACTTGAAAAGTTTTCCAAATATATTGATATAAAAGTCTGAAATGCTGGTATGCAGTCAGTGTAAACAAAGCACTTTGTTGAATCTGCTGAAAGCCGCATGGAAACTTGAGTCATTTGTTTGACTTCCAGTAGACTCTGACGTGTCCGTAGTATGTGTAGGTAAATATTGGAGCAGAATCAGACAATAGTAGAATCTCAGAAACAACGAAGTGGAAATATAAATAGAGCGAACGAGCGAGACAACTGTCAAGAATAAATATCAGGGAGACGAGCACCGTAAAGACAGAGCTCTGGATTCAAACAGCTTCAGTGAAATGTATGACAGACCTGCAAGTTCAACGTTTGACACTTTTAGTTGTTTCTGTTGGTAAACATCAAAGTACATGCTCAATAATCCAGGTAAAAATCCAACAATGTTCAGTCAGGTCATATGTATGGTTTGTTTTTGATGAGACGTTGTATCCGTCATCCAAAGGACTTCTTCAATCTGAGGAGCCACAAACAATCTGAGTCAGCCATGCCAAAGTGCTTCAAAACATCAGGGAGTGTGCTGCTTGTGGGACTCATTGTTTGTGGCTCCTCGGACTGATGAAGTCCTTTGGATGAAGGACGAAACGTCTAGGCAAAAAAAAAAAAAAAAAAAACTGTCCAGATGACCTGACTGGACTTTGTTGGTTAAGAACCAAACACAGTTGTGTGTATTCGGTTTGAAAATTTGCAAACAAAACAAATTAAATTAAGGACACATTACCCATCAATATGAGAAAACTATTGTGCTTGTTTTGTTTATAACTTGGAGATTTCATTTTGTTTTTGTTAGTCTTCTTGATTTACAATGAATACCTTTTTTTGATTTATGATTTTATATGCGAGTGCTGGATGAAAATGGCTGATTGGATGCTGCACATCTACACTGTGATGATAAACTGCGCTTAAATATCGTTCTGTTCATGCATCTATTTTTGGTTCAAGAAGAACCTAATGTCATCCCTTTTCCTACATGCACCTGAATGCATCTTCTATCTGTTCTTCCTTCCTCTCCTCCTTCCGAGCCAACCCCTCATCCTCTTTGTGTGGGCAGAAAAAGGGGGATTTAACTCTGTAAGAGCATGGCACCCAGTGGTTGTCTGCTAACAGCTGGATTTGTCACCATTGTGTCCTTTGCATGGCGTTGTGTGCAGTCATCCTCCTGGGCCAGAACCTTGTCAACAATACAGATTTAAATGTTGTTTTGTTTACTCGAGGTCTGTTATATTTAATATGCTTTTATAAAATATGGGTACAAAAGTGACCACTGAACACCCTGATGTTCTTCCACTTCTTCACGATGATGAAACACTACCTGGCTCATTAATGTCTATAAAGACGATGCTAGCCCTTCATCAGCTTTCCGTCATGTTTACTCTTCTCCTCAGGAGACCAACATGCTTCTTGATGAGGGATGAAAACATCTTCGTCTCCTTCCCTCTCTCAGCAGAAGTGGAGCAGATGCTAAAGCAGCTCACCACCACGAGGACAGCAAGCCGGTGGGAGAGCAGTCTCTCGCAGCATTGTAAATATTGTAAGGTTGCACCGCAGCACAGGTGACTGAATAATTAATAGGTGCTGTGTCTTTGACAGAAATACTTTGGAGGCCATTAGCTCTGCTACCTGGCCTCTGAGAGTATATTTGTCAGAAGAAAGCAATGCTGCGGAGGTGATTGATTTCCTGTGGCTGCCAGGTTAGAGGCAGCGCACCTTTTTACATTAATATCGTGTGGCATCTATTAGATAGGTGACTTCCTCAACTTGTCTCGCCCTGGGTGCCCGGGCGAAGCCCAGCACATCAAAATTTAAATTGTCATCATTAATTGCTGGTGCTCTGGGAGTATCTTGGAGCGCCAAAGTCTGCCTCTCCTGCAGTAACTCAGAGAAGCCAAGCCTGCTGCACCCAGATAAACACACTCACGTACACACCGTCCATGTGCACAGCTGAAGTGAATGAACATGCAAATCTTTGCTTTAGTGGAGTTTATATTTGCTGAAAATGCTCTTGCAGTTGTTTTTTTTTTTTTTTTTCTTTAGAACTGCAGCTCCTGTATTATAATCTCCATTGCACCCAACACATTTTAAACAACAAAGGTTTAAAGATTAAAGTCAATAGAGGGATGTGTGTCCTTTACTATAAAGTCAGGAGCCAGTCACAAAGAATATACGGAAACACATATCAAGATAAAAATGTTACCATGTTCTTGTTTTCCTTATTTTTCATTAGTATTGTTCAAGTGTCTTTTGTTCTTGTCTAACATTGCTGTATTTTAATTTGTTTCAGTGTAAAGTTTAGCTTCACGACAGAAACGGGTATGAGTTTTAATTTCTGTGGTAGCTTTATTTCTTAAAGCAAGGCTGAGGGACTACTTTACTTTGCATTCTGGAGAAACTTTACTCTCTGCTGAGAAAAGACCTCGAAGGACGATGATAGCAAGCACACAATACCAGAAATAAACTAATCCATTTGTGGCCTAATCATGGGTTCAATCCACGGTCATTGCACATCTCATGGTGTCTCTGAGCAGGACACCCCATCCCCAGTTGCTCCCGGGGCACCTCCAAAGGTCTCCCACTGCCCCACCTGGTGGTGGATGGGTTAAATGCAGAGAGCCAATTTCACCATTGTATGGAACTATTTTGTTTTGTTTTTGTTTGTTTGTTTTTTTGAATGTCCAGAGGACCAGACTTAATTTTAGATTTTTCTACCTGGATTATTGAGCATGCATCAGGATATGGAACATACAATGATGACAATGCATTATTATTATTATTATTATTATTATTATTATTATTATTATTATTATTATTATTATTATTAATATTAATATTAATATTATTATTATTAATATTAATATTATTATTATTATTATTATTATTATTATTATTATTATTATTATTGTTATTATTGTTATTGTTATTGTTATTGTTATTGTTATTGTTATTGTTATTGTTATTGTTATTGTTATTATTATTATTCCTTGAATGAATGCCGTCTGTTGCCTTTCATGACAGAGTTTTAATTTATGATGGCCACCAGAACATTTTGCAAGATGTGTTACTGCTGGAAGTGTTTGTTGAGGATGACTCTCAGCTACTACTTCTCTACAAATTTGACATCTTTATCCGTACTTTTCAGTAATTTATAGATGTGTTTGTTGGCAAAGAGCTGTGGTTGATATCTTCAGCCGTGTTGATTCCAAAAATTTATGATTTTTTTTTTTTTTTTAGGGGTTGATAATATATTTAGCTGAAGGTACAGATAATGTTGATGCATGTTGCCTCTTGTTCAACACTGCTCTGTTTTGGGATCTTCTGTGAAGTTCCTGCAGAATCATTGCCTCAATACTTTTCGATATGAAACTGATTTATTATGCATACAAATGTTAGTTCTACTCAAGTATTCTAGGATTAAAATATTGGTGAAGAAGTGCTCACAGATTCAAAAAACCTTTTATTTCTAATTCAACATCTGTTTGCAGACAATGTCCTAAAAGAAGCATTTTGTCTTATACAGCTTAAATCTTACCAGTTACAATGGGAGTCTAACCTTATTTTATACGCTCCCTGATGCCCTGATTCTTTTCTGTTTTTTCTTTCTCTGTCAGAGCCTGCTCAAGGTTTGGCTACGCACTTTAAAGGAATGCAGACTAAAGGAATGCAGACTGATGAAATGAGTACAGTTACTGAGAGAAAGAGCAGTATCAGCATGCCAAGCTGCAAACAATGTGTCTGAATATTTTTGACTTCACTTATGAAAATCCATTGAGCTAAAAAGTATATTTATTTGTGGTGTGCTGTTGTGGCATGAATACGGTGGCCGACAGACATTTACACGCACAGCAAAGAGTTAAATGCACTGCGAACATGTGACGGTGCAACTCGAAACAACACTAAGCCAAAAGCAAATGCAGCAGAAAAATGCTG